AAAAAAAAAAAATACTATGCATTACTCCATTTCTTTATAATAATGGGAGACAAACACACACTTATGCTGTGTTTGATATGGAAAATTTTCCATGGAACTAGGAATTCAAATTTCATCTTCCACCAATTTGCTTGTTTGATGGGAATAATTTTCTTGGGAATTGGATTTCCACCTTTTCTTCACACGGTGACATTTTCTGTGTTTTGCTTGAATTCATTTTCCCACCTTTTTGGCAGGAAAATTGTTGGCAACAAATTCCAAACACAATGGTAAAATGGTTTCCATTTTTTTTTTTTTTTATAGCAATGGCAACAAATTCCAATCCCAAAGGTAAAAAAATCTATTCATTTAATTGACAATTTACATGAAAAACAATGGCAAACGAATACCAAAAAAAAAAAATTTCTAATTTTTAATTTTTATTTTATTTTATTTTTGGCAATCCAAACAAATTCTATCACCAATTTTAACAAGTTTTATCCACTTAATTGACAATTTTCATTAAAAAAAAAAACCCAAACTAACCAGGTGGAAAATTATACCAATCAAACACAATTAATTACAATTCCCAGTAAAACAATTTTTAAACAATTCAATTTTCTGAAATTCATTTTCTTTCCACTTATTTTCCACATTTTCAATCAAACGGACCCTTAACATTATGTCTTTAAGCTAATGTGTGTTGATTTTATTTTTTTAATAAAATTTGGTTTACAAAAAAATAATAAAAATACACCACAAATATTTTCAACAAACACGAAATCAACACTTATTTAAATAGCCCCTAACATCGTATCAACCACCCCAAAATTATCTTTTTAATAGATTAAGTGGTTCTGCTACATAATATGATCATAATGTATCAGCCTAAGTTCAACATTAATTCAACTTATACTATAAATAGAACCAAATAAATACGTAATGATTTGATCACTATTGTGCTAAATATAATATGATCTAACCTGAAGAAGTGTTAAATTGGAAAAAAAAAATGAATAACCGATTCACAATTTATATATCAAAAATAATTTCAGGTAATCATAATTATAGTCGGCAAGGCTATCCAATTCATGCAAAAATGCACAAAATAAAATATTTTTTTGAAAATTTTCAATTTTCACTTGACGTGAAGAATTTTCACACAAATATGTCAATGGATGAATGCATCATACGAGTTTGGAGCAAAAAAAATCATAGTGAAGTTCATTGAAGAATTTCATCGAATGTTTTGTGTCCAATGAAAATTTCCTTTGCTTTGTATGTAAGTTGAAAATGTTTAATCCCCAATTGTTCATATCTTTAATTGAATCAATACTTACCAACTATATCCTATCCCAATCGCCACAGCTTCATCATAAATTTCACAAAAAATAAAAAAAAAATGAAGGGGAATGAGATTGAACTGTCCACCTTTAAATGAAGAACTAGGTTCAAATTAATTGGGGATATGGTTTGATTCCTCAATTTTTGCAATAAATCAATACACATCAACCAATAATGCCTAACTCCACATATCAATCATCTATATCCACACAAAAATTCGAAATTCTAACAAAATACTCTTTGAATCAAAGTGACGTCTTTAGAATTTTTTTTGCCTTTGAATTCGAATATAATGACGTTTGCATGCATGACGTAGTGATAAGTCTAGATAGAGGTGTCAATTCGGGTGGTTCGGATTGAGCCGGCCCTCCAACATATGAGCCCGGTAATAGTCCGCGTGAAAAAAAGCCCGCCCGCTACGGGTTCCGGGTCGGCCTACAAATTTTGGACTACAATTCAGGCTCGCCTGCTGACCTATCTGAGTCGAGCCCATGCGGGTCACGGGCCGCGGTTTATTCCGGTTTGGCCCGTATGATTGTATAAATAAGTTTATAAAAATATAGATTTTTTTATATTTATAGCAAAAAATATATTTTTTTGTTAAATGTAAACTAAGAATTGAACAAAATGATAAATTCATAATTATATCAAGAAATTTTTACATAGAATTCAAATTTAATGTTACATGAATTATTTATAACTTTGCAAACTTC